CCGCGGGAGGGGCCCGTGCGCAGCAAGGGGCCAGGAAGAGCGGGTGAACGCGGCGCATGGGGCGAGCTAGCAAGCTGGATCAACGTGCACAGCCGGGACAGCAAGCCAGGCAGCACCTGCTCCTGGCCAGCGCGAACGAGCGGCAGTGCGACCGGCCCCGCCGACCCGGAGTCCCCTCAATCCCACCTGCTGAGGTATTGGAAGAGGTAGTTCTTCATGTCCACGCGCACGCTGCCGCTGCACGTGCGGGCGCAGGGAGGGCGTACCGTCCTCAAGCGAGCCACGCACGGTGCGGCGCGGGGCAAAGCAGGGCCGGACCCCCAACACACCGCCGGCGGGGCACCCGGTGCCCTCTGATGCTGCATTCTGCCAGCTGCTCGCCGCCGCTGCTCGCATATAGACCAGCTGCAACACCCCGCGAGCGGTGTTTGGGCATGCCCTGTCGCGCAGGCTCGTGGCCGTAATCATCGACTCACGTGAGGGTGTTTTCGTTGACCAGCTTGAGCAGTGTCTGCGCCGCCAGCAGCTGCGCGTAATTCGACCGGCTGTTGTCCAGTATTACCTGCAGCGGCCGCGTGGCATGACGTACTGAAGCCTGCTGCCCAGGCGACGCAGTGCAGGTGGGTGCGGCTGTCCAGCATCACCGCGTCGCCCGCGCTTCATGCGCGCGCGCCCACCCGGCAGTGCGGGATGAACTCCGTAGAAGAGCTTAGACCTCCCAGCATCCTTTCCGCCTCCGTGCGCTGCTCCACACTCTGCGAGGCATCCGGGAGGGGCATTGTCAGCCTGATCTGGCCGGGACCTTCTCCGATCCTGCTCAATCCCAGTCTCTGATCACCGTAGAGTTGTATAGATGCTCCGCTAGCACCTCCAGCTGCGGAAGCTGCGCCACAAAGGCGTCCAGGCTCCCCATGGATCCGTCGTCCTCCTGATTTGCGGGCTAGGCGGCCCGCAAGGCCAGGAAACCTCCTGATATAGCTGCAAAAATACCTCAGATGATACAAGCTGTCAGACCTGCCCCGTTGGAGATCATAGGCTGGGCACCAATATTGCGGCAACCGCAGGCGAGGCCTATCTGAGGATGTGTACGCCACGTCCTAGGTGGGATAGCCCTTGATCGAAGACAATTAATCCGGCATGTGCGGTGCGTGAGGCCTACATTGTGCGGTTGGCTGCTGGAATGGGTGGCACCGGGTTACGCTGCTGCTGATAGCAGCCAGCTGCTGCACGTCACGTCGTGCGCATTGCCAGCCCAACGAGTTGAGTTGTGATGTATCAAAGGGTGTGTTCATGAATGGTGGCTACAGGCTGCCACTTGTGCTTGCATTGCCCGGTCAAAACCGCACCGGTCAGAGTGCCACACAGGTGAGTAAGGTGTCCCACTGCTAATAGTGGGATGTGCCCTGCATAGAGTTGGAAGTGGGGGGCCACCAATACTGATTGTGATAAATACCACCGCTCGCAAAAGCTGGCAGGCCAGGCGAGATATGGGGAGGAGAGGCGTGCGCTGCCGTCATGAGAGTGAAGGATGAAGTCCCAGCCTGACGACAGTACAGGGATAGGATCGATGCCCCGTCACGGCCGCAGCTCGTGAGGTGAGAGCGAGGGGCTGCACCTGCCGGCCAGTCGGCGCCGAACGTGCACCAGCGTGTGAGCCGCAAAGCAAGATGTGGCTCCGGGTTGTGCAAAAGGGATTGCGGCATCCAAGTGGCAGACAGACAATTTAGTCTCGGCAAAGCCATGGGTCTGCCTGGTCCTACAAGCAGTTGTGAGGCGCAACAAGCAAGTACGCCCTGGCCTAGTGACCCTCGCTCGCCTCAGCGTGTATAGCTGCAGCCGCATGCCAAGCGCCCCTGTCCAAAGGAAGCGCCTGCGCGACTGGCGAGTCGGACCCCTTGTCGAATGCTTCCACCTGCGTGGTGGCCTCCTCTGCGCCCCCGCTTGCAGCCGTCGCCGCAGCCGCCGCGTCGTGCTTGCCCGCGCTCGCGCTCGTGGCGAAGCGGGAGAGCATGCTGTTGCGGTGCACGGGGCTGAGCGGCGAGCGCGGCTCCTGCTCCCCCCTGCTGGCGGGCCCGGCGCTGGGCCTGGGCTTGAAAGAGAGCGTCGTGCCCCAGAACGACGCCTTGGGCGTCTTGACCGCAAACTGCTCCCCAGGCGCCAGCGAATCCGACACTGCCTCGTGCCAGGAGGCGCGGGCGGCGCCGCTGCGCCACCTCTGGGCCACCGAAGCGCTCGTGATGAATAGGCCGATGAGTATGGTTGCCGCAAGGATGTACCACAGGCCGGCCACCTGCATATGAAATGGCAGCCCCCAACAGCTGGTGAGCAGAGGGCGGGCCGTCGCATGCTCGACGTTCCGCACGCGCTGACGGCGCTCGACATGCAGATGGACCGCAGCCAACCGCCAAAAGCTGAGCTGGCAGGGTGCACGTGTCTACGGCACCCCAGCGCCGTCTGCTGCACCTGCACAATGTGCACGACTGTATTGCCACCGCCATGATTGCCGCTGGTCGGGGACGTTGATGCGCAGGAGCCAGAGCCGTGGGCGCCGGTTATGTAACTGTTTTCGAGCTTGTCCAGCAGCCCCTGCTCAGTCTGCAACAGCGATCGCGCATCCGCAGGGGTTGAAGGGGGCGCACGACGGCAGGTCGACGGCCAACGGGATTTGCACGCTAGGGGGATAGGGTGCGAGGGCTAACAAGCTTGTCTGGTATCAGTCACTCGTGGCCTCAAGGCGGCCGGGCCGTCCATGACACATGCGCATGTGCACACGCGTGCACACGCACAAGCACACGCGCGCGCACGCACGCACCCACGCGTGCACACACGCAGGCACACACATACACGCACGCGTGCACGCACGAGTAGCTTGCAACACACTCCGCATCCATGGCGGTCCTTACTTTCCGATACCGGGCGTAACATGCAAGCCCCTGCCCTCCCCCCCCCTTACCCTCGCATGACTGTGCCTCGACGGGGCCTAAGCTGAGGCCGTCCCCCCCCCGCCCCCCAAAAAAGTCACCTGCAGCTTGACAATCACGCGGCTGATATTCGCAGTCAGGGCGTCGGGGGCGTCCGGCGAGAAGCCTATGGCTAGGTCAAACGTCTCAAAGGGCTCCCCCACTGAGAAGAGGTCGCACTGCTCGTTCATGGTGGCCACCAGGAACGACACCACGGGGGCGTCAAGCACCAGAGCCTTTGAATGTGCCGTGGCGGTGGTGTGTGTGTACGTGTGTGTGTGTGTGTGTGTACGTGTGTGTGTGTGTGTGTGCGCACGCGCGCCTGCGTGCATGCGCACGTTCTGTGTGTCAGGTGGGTATGCTATGGCAGCAGAGAGAACGCCTAGCTGGGTCGCAAGCTGATGGGGGCGGGTGGCAGACATGACTCACAAGGGCAGTGCTGATGGCGATGGGGACGGGTACGCGTGTGCATGCGTGCTTGAGTCGGTGCACCTACCAGTGGGACCCTGCCACATCATAACGTCGCCTGCAACAATCAGCAATCACCTTGTATGTTGAGTTTCGAAGGTTCTCAAGGAATGCGGCTGTGTCTGCGTCACTCTCCCTGTGCATGCCGTTGTGCGCGTCGGGGAAGATCCAGAGGCGGGGGAGTGGACGACCTATCTAACCCTGCGCCGTGGTACATTCACTGGTGGAGTACCCCACGCGGTGCCCGCCCTGCTGAGCTCCTCTCACCAGGGCAGGCCGGCTGCGTCTATGGAATACTTGCGCAGGAGGCCCTGATAGCTTGTCCTGCGGCCACAGCCGCAGCACAAAAGCGCAGGGAGGGAGAGAGGAGAATTCTAGGAGGCAAGCAATGTTGAGGGCCACACATGGCCCCGCAGCAGAGGGCGAGAGCAGCTGCTCTACCAGAGCCCAGATGCCGTGCGGCTAGGGCACGCCCCCGTGGCACCGGGCCGCTCCTTCCCCCTCCGGAGCAGGGGCGGGCGCACCACGTCTCCACCGGCTTGCCGGGCAGGTCTGCCTTGGACTTGATGTTGTTGGCCAGGCGCTGCTGCGTCAGGCGGCTGGCCAGCGTCGCAGTGTACAGGTGCACCTGGGCGGCACGCATTGTGCACACAATGTGCCTTGCTCTTATATGATGCAAGCGGTGCCGCTCAAATACTGCAACCGCGTGCTGGTGATGCGGCACTTGGAGCAGCAGCAGCAGCAGCAGCAGCAGCAGCAGCAGCAGCAGCAGCAGCAGCAGCAGCAGCAGCAGCAGCAGCCACACCAAGCAGCAGCAGCAAGCAGCTGACAATCAGGAAGCCATACTGTCGGGAGGCACAAGTGCGGGAAAGAGGATTTGTGATTCAAGTGCTGCGCGTGTGCGTGGGCCGTGCATGTCCATCACACAGCACAATGACGAGGGACGCTGCTTGCCGTCCACCACCGTGAATGCAACAAACTGTCGCTAATCCGCTCACCGCCAGCACCAGGACACGTGCGCCCCATGTGCCAGGGTCGCCGACATGGGCGTGCATGTGCATCAGCTGCGACATAGAGTACCAGGACCAGCCCGGAAGGTCCCAAAGGGCAGGGGGTGGAGAAGGAAGGTGTACCCCTGCTGCGATCAAGATGCCAGCGACACGTAAGCAACGAAAGCGGCGATGACAACCAATCCACTGGCACGCAGCACCGCCCTGGTGGCGGGACTGTGCACCGAGCGAGACAGCGCATCAAGACCAACCTTGGAGGCCTGCGCCGCGAGCGCAAGGGCGACACGGTAACTCTGTCAGGAGAGTGCGACTGGCTTTTGTTCCAGACACGCCATATGTCGTGCATGTGCATGTGCATGTGCATGTGCATTTGCAACAGTGTGCAGCATGCATGCATAGTTGCACAGTCACACTTGACCGGCTCGCAGACACACTCTGAACTGCGCAGCGGTCTTTTGTGTGCATTGAACCAAGGTACTGAGGCGCGCACCCTTGCGGTTGCTCTTGCTCCCATACGTTAAGCTCTCAACGACCGCCACCAGCAGGCCGACTGCCAGCGCCGTGCCAAAGAGCGCGGCCCACACGCTCCAGTGGAAGGCCTCGGCAAACGTCCAGGCGCCGCCCGTCTGGACGTGCCCCGCGGTCAGCACCATGAAGCCGCTCTGCAAGACGGCGGTTTGGCTAGCAGGGCCATGCAGAGAGTCAACACGCTTGTCAGGCGTCGCGTGTCAATGAGCTGCCCAGGGGCACAGGCACTGATTGTCCGTGCCAAAATCAGGCGCTGCCTTGTCAAGCCGGCAAACGTCGTGCACGCGCGTCGTCCCACCTTGTAGATAGGCCACGACATCCTCATCCCCGCCGCCACGTTTTCCAAGGACACCTCGACGCCTGGCGGAGGGGAGGGTTGGCAAAATCCGCGTCCGCGACAGCAGCGCCATGCCGCCATCGCCGCCGCTTGTGGCATGTGGCGGCAGGATGCGGGTAGCTTTGACGGCGCATGCAACGAAAACCGCAGCCTGCTCATGCCCAGCTTGCCCGGTTCTCATCATGAGCCCCTGGTCACCGACGGCCACACCAAGCCGTGCGCACCCGCGGCCGCCATGGTGCATGCGCCGTCTGGTGACATGATGTCATCGATCATGGGGGTCCAGTCGATGCACGAGAACGTCCATTCAGCATCTGTCCAGCCCAACTCTGCTGCCACGCGGCGGAACAGCTCAACCTGGTAGCCATCGTAGGTGCTGGCAGGTTCGGCCGGGTCGCACTTGACAATGGGGTCCCAGGCAGAGGTGCACACGTTGAAGCTGCAGCAGGGTTGATGGCACAGTGCTGGCAGTAAGCTGATGAATGGAGCGCATAGGAGACGGGCGCGGCGCTGAGCTGCGGTATAAGAGCAGACCTCGTGCCCGCGACGCTGGCAGGTTGCCGCGATTGTGCGGCGCGCTTGCAAACTGGATGCTGTGGACCGAGCGGAGGGAAGCGCTCAGTACTCACGGCTTCTGATAGCGTGTTGCAGATGGGGCCCCTGTGCGGCTGGTCCGCGACCTGAGGCGCGCCGCGGCCGATTGCGTCCATGCGCCCCCCAGGGCCGCAAGCTTCCCGCTGCCTGGCTTACTCTGGCGGCCCGATGCGCCGGCGATCTGCAGCAAGGCCGACGAGCTCACGCAGAACAGCAGGACCGCTGGCAGGGCTGCGCCAGCCCAGCGGCCCATGCCTTGCTTTCAGGACTGGGCGTCAGATCACAAGCGCTCCGATGGCAAAACATGTTACTATGAATTGTGCGCTAAAAGTTCCGCGCATGCGAAATGTTCATCAAGAAGACATCAATTGATGTTGTTGCCTCGCGGGGCGACCCATTTGACCGTGATTGAGCACTGACTTCGGATTCTGATCCCTCTCAGAGGCTACCACAATTGGTGTTCAGCCGTCCACCTTCAATGCAAACCCTTGAGAAATGCAACAGCACTCAAGCCAGCGATTGGGTTGCGCGATTGTGTGTGTTCTTCGCCCCGACGGCCGATGGGGGGTGCCGTGATGCCACGGCAGACCCTGAGCTCAGCTGTTGCTGCCATGCCACGCACAGACGCACAACCTCAAAATCATGCACATGCGCATGTTTGCCCCTGTCCCCTCCCCCCCTCAAACACACACATGTACGCCTGCGCACCCACACGCGCACAGATATGCACATGCACGCCTGCGCCCGCGCGCACACACGCGCGCGCCTGCGCGCGCGCGCGCGCACACACACACACACACACAAACACACACGCGCGCGTGCGCGCGTGCGCGCGTGCGCGCGCATGCTGCCGCACACATGCACAAATACAGACACAATACACATGGACATGCGCTCGCGCAAGAACACTGTGCACAGCACTCGGTGACTGCAAACCGGCGTATTACAGTCAGCCAAGGCAGTAAAAGGGTATCCTTCACCTTTCTGCTGAGGCGCCAGACGCCTCGCAGCTTTCTGCGAGGGGGCCATACTTTCAGCATAACGCAACTGATGGGGCAGATCTCTGGGTCCCACCTGGCGGTGGTGTGCATGTTTTTGACCCAATGCGGTGGGTCGGGTCTGTTGCGGAGTCAGAAAGCATCAGGAACACTTGCACTTACTGGTCAAGTAGGTTGAATTCATGCAGTGCGTGTCACGACAAGTGATGCAGGAGCTCAGCTATGCGCAGCGAGCGAGGTTGGGCACCCAGCAAGCGCGTGCAATTCGCAATGCTTGCTTGTCCCCCTCCCTGCAGTTCAGGTACTGGGCCCAGCAGGACTGGCCACATCAGCCCAGCCAACACAAGAAAGGCTAAGCGGCATTGTAATTACGGCACGCTCTTCCAACATTCAGACCAATAAACCAGCCATAGCATGGAAAGCATCATGTTGATAACGAGCATGCTTGAATCAATTGCCATCATCAGCTTCATCAGCAAAAAGGTCTCAGGAGGAGTTGATCGGTGTTTTGTAATGATGCCAGCCAAGCCAAACACGGGGTGACACGATCAGCGCATCTACAAGATGAGCCCTAGATAGTAGGCGGGCACACACTCAACCAGCCACCGAGTGTGCTCAAGTGCCAGCCGTTTGAGTTAAGACCAGGGTAGTTGGCAGCTACTGGCCCACCTACTGCTCGTCAAAGGCCTCCGCATGTACCACAACTGCTGCATGCCCGTCGCCCGCAGCAAAATGTTGCTGGCTGCTTGACGGGTTGCAAGGCAGGCTTGCCCTCCTTGGATCGCCATTGCGCGCCGCCTCCCTGCTTGGTGCCTCACCAACCGCAAGCTGCTGTCTCTGCCCCGCAAAAGAGCTGCTGCTCAGCCGAGAAGCCAGGCTTGCACGGCGTACGTTGCTGCTGGGCGGCGGCGGGGCAACTGTGTGGCAGCTCTCCCCAGCTGCGATGTGTCCGGCGCCGCTGGTGATGCGGGCCCCCGCAAACGAGAGGGTCGTGCCCCAGAAAGTGGGGCCAGGCGTGATGGACGGCTGCGGGGGTAGCCTTCCGGAGAGCGCGAGAGAGAGGGCCCCGACCCCGCCGATGCGGGAGCCGTCACCACTGTCGCCGGCCACGCGGCACCTCTGGACAACAGCTGCTGTTGCAATCAGCAGACCGACTCCAATTGTGATAGAAAGGATGATCCAAAGCCCAGCCACCTGCAGAATATAGAGGTTGCAGAATATGATTATCTTGGACTATGATTGTTCCAAGGTTACTGAGCAAGGCACGCAACTGAGTTGTGGGGTGCATCACACCTGCTCAATGTGCACAGAGACATTCGAGGCGCCGCCGGCCGAGCTGCTGTGAGAAGCAGAGGCGCAGGCCGTGGTGTTGTGCAATCCAGTGCCTGTAACAAATGTGTTTTCAAGCTCATCCAGCGTCCCCTTCTCCGTCTGCAAGCAAAGAGGCACATGGGCAGGGCGAGGGCAGGAGCCTGCGGTGAGCATTCACCGGTTGCTGTGTGCTACTGATCCACCCCCATCTGTCAAGGTGCCCCTGCTAGTCCCACCCCACCCGTGGCACCTTCACGCTCAAGCCAGCACCCCCAGTGCCTACCTCCTCGTGATTCAGACGATGAACCCCCTATCACACGAAGCAAACCTTGCAAGATTTGCGCGCGTGAACACGCACGCACGCACACACACACACACACACACACACACACACACACACACACACACACACACACAACTCATGACAGCTTGTGTTCACCTGCAGCTTGACAATGGCGCGGCCAATGCTGGCGATCAGGGCGTCAGGTGCATCATGAGGGAAGCCTATGGCCAGGTCAAAAGTCTCGAAGGGCTCCCCCACCGAGAAGAGGTCACATGCCTGATTGTCACTGCTCATGATGTGCTTTACCACAGGAGTGTCCAGCACTAAAGCCTGCAACAGGGACAACGGTGAGCGAGGGTCGGCGGTCTGGGTGGGAATCTACAGCTAACAAGGTGTTAACAAACTGGTTTCGTGTGTGTGCATGTTGATGCCTTTGTGTTTCAACAGTTGTGTATTCTGCTGCTTGTGTGGTGTAGTCAAATGTGCGTGTGAGCGCGCATGTAGGCGTATTTACGAGTGTGTACGTGTGCGTCCTGTGTGTCACATGTGAACTCGTTTGTCACTTCCTTGGCTGAGTCACAG